CAAATTATGATAACCCACATGCATTATCTTACATTTATTATAATTAAACCCATCTGCCATTTATTTGCCCAACCCACTAAATGATCTAAATCCTTTTGTAAATCAGCAGCATCCTCTTCACAGCTAGCAAACACCTAAGATCTTAATATCATCTGCAAATTCAAGTAATTTATTGACTATCCCTTCATCTACATCATTGATGTAAATCAAAACGAGCAAAGGTCCTAAGACCGAGTCCTGAGATACCCCTAAGACACTGTATCTCAAATGATAATGTCTTGAACCATTAATAAATTCACGATCTAGTTGTTATTACTTCTTGTTTGTAACTCCTGTATGTGTATTGTTTGTGTTTGAATGATGATTTATATAGACAAACACACACACACACATATATATACTGTATATATATATATATAATTATATTTAGGATTTACTTAATTTTCCTCTCACCCCATTAACTAACAACAATGGCACAGTAAAAGTAATTTCATTATCTGTGTAACAATGAGTTTACAGCTGTTAGTTTGTGTGAAGTGTGTCACAATATGTGCACTCTTTGAATATCTGAAGTGATTCACAAATATTTTTACCATAGTATGATCTGCAAATATTGTGATAGTGAGTGTACAGCTACTGTATAATATAAAGCATGGGAGTTTGTATGAAATAATTCTCAATGACTGTAGAGTAAGAGTTACTATAAAATGTGTCACAGTGAACTAAATAAGTATTACATTATGCTAATCATTACCTCACTAATAATGCTGTACTAAATTACATTAAAGAAGGTACTGATTTGTAATAAATATTAATATATAACAGTGATTATCAAATAGTAAATACCAAGTTCTGTTAAATGATGTATTGAGTTAGTAACTATTTAAATATGCTAATTGCAATTTTTGGTACCAATATACTGCATTACTCTATTAGACTTAATTTTTTCTTTTGTAGGCAATAGTTGTTGTCAAGTACCTGTTCCAGTTTGATTTTTTTCCATGGAATGTTGAAACTCATGTGAACGATCCCTTCTGGCCACCAAGAATCTTGGGTATTGAAAAGAAAGACAATTATGCAGTTTATGACTTAGCCCTTCTCCTAGTCATATTCTTTCATCGTTTTGTGCTAAAGGTTATTATAATTCAAGATAAATTTTTTTTGCGGACTGTCATTGCAGGAATTCTTTAAACATGTATTGATTGGGACTGCTTGGTGTTATCCCACCTAAATTTAACATACTATATTTTGATGTGCTAATATGGCACTACAACTTCCTGAGGTGCACCTGCAGTGGTTTTGGAATATCTCATTCATTTATGAAGATATATCAGTAAAAATGAAAAATCTGACAAAAGACTAAGTTTTTTTTCTGGTGCAACTATTTTTGTATTTCAGTAATAAATAAGTGGTGAAATTTGAACTGAATTTTTGAAGAAGCAGAAGAAAGCTTAACTTTTTGTCAATAAGGTTGCTCACTTTTACAGACATATTTTCATAAATGAATATGTTATTTTGCAAGTAACTCTCCATCCCTACTTGTCTTAGGAGAATATAAATATTTTGTATAGATTTGAAACCTTATATTTTATTTTGTAGTTTGAACTAAGGAGGTGATATCGTAGTTTATACTTGAAGGCCTAAGTTTTGCTAAGGTTAACTAAGTCTTATCAAAATCTCATAAACACTAAATGAGTATGTCTTTGATTGGAATAATATTGTTATCCTATATAAACCTCAGTTTATTGTAACTAAAGATGTTTCAAAAATATCAGAAAATAGTAGGTGATTTAAGAATACAATTAATGTTTTTTCTTCAGATTTCAATCTTACCTTCCATAGCTGTCTTTAAAAAAAATTAAGGCTCTGAACTGTTCCATGCAATGACTTTTTTATTGTAAGTCACACACACAGACAATCAGAATTTATCTGATATTACTTAATAGTGACACACTATTATGCTAACATGCTTGCCCTTTCAGCTCTGGGGGCTTTATAATGTGACAGTCAATCCCACTATTCGTTGCTAAAAGAGTAGCCCAAATGTTGGTAGTTGGTGATGTTGACTACCATCTTTCCCTCTAGTCTATCGCTGCTAAATTAGGGATGGCTAGCATAGACAGCACTCTTATAGCTTCGTGCAAAATTCCAAAAACTTAGATTAAGACATATAAATTGATCTTCAAAAAAACATTAAGTCTAATATTGAAGTACACAACTTTTTAAAATACAAGTATTATCAATGTGCATAAAGTAGAATAACATAGAACAAACACATGTAAATTGAAAAGAGAATGATAGTAATGACATCATATCTCATTAGTCTTTTTACAAACTTTTTAGAAGTGTATAAATAGTATAAACATGTGATTTCTACATTCAAGAGTTTGGGATTGTGGAAAGATGGAGAAGAAGTTACAACTTTGTCAAAAGAAATCCTTGATAGAAATCCTGATATTTCCTGTGAAGAAAAGATAGCTGGTGGAACAGAATCTGAAAACGATTGGTTGGTAAGTGTAGGTTGTTCGAGGTTTGTGAATTTTATGCATTTTTTTTATGTAAGCTGAGTATTTGTTAACCTATTCATGGACAGTATAAAAATTTTCAATCAAGTAAAAACTCAAAGAACCCTAGTTTTGTACTAATAATAATGAACCCAAATTTTAAACCCATAGTTGTGCAGAAAAATAATAATTTCTTAAAAATAACGTTTAACAAAACTAGTAAAAATTCATGAATGGGTTACGTACTTAAGTTTGCTTAAAGAGAAAAATTTTATAATGATCGAAAAACCATTACTGTAATAAGCCTATGTGTTAGATAAAGAAATACTCGTATTTGACTCAACAGACTATTGTGTTTATTTATAATAAACATTAATGTAAATACATTATTGCTCCTCCTGTTATATGGCTAGTCATAACAATCATAATAATGTTCAGGGCTGTATCAAGATCAAGAACTTGTTAAATATTATTATTAAATGAGTAATAAATTACAATGCAATGGAAAAACAGAAACATAATAATTAAATCAAAACTCTGAGATATTAAATTTCTTCATTTATGTTTCACAACCTGCATCAGTATTTTAATGGAGAGTTTCAGGCTCACAGATTTCTTGTGGAATTAAGAGAAACCTCTAGGTTAGCTTCTATCATGTAGTTGCAATACTTTTCAGAGCATCATACTGAATGTCCTCACACACAGAACAGTGGTAAGAAACATGATCAGGAAAGATAAAACAACAAGGTCAAGCCACAATAGATTACCAGCATTAATATTGCATTACTTAGTTTGTGTGTTAGCGCACTCAGAAATATATTTATCACTCCATTAATCCAGAAAGGTTGCCAAACATAAAATGCCTTAAAAACTTAATATCTAACATATCTTGTTACCTGTACATTATTGTTATATTGGTGCTTTCATCCAAGGAAAGGCTATAGAAAGGACAGCACACAACTTTTTCAACTGATCATGTGGAATAAAATCAACCAAGTCTTCAGTCTTTTTTACTAAATGCTCATTGGTGCATCTTCGAAAAGGGCATTTTCAGGATGTACGACCAGAGCTTTCTTGTATGATTTATCCATTGCTGGAAGGCATCCTGTTTTATCCCAAACAAGAATGAATATTAAATATAGCCATCTGGATTCGATGTAAATAAAAAAGTTTTAGTTGGATATTTTGTCTGTACAGTTTTATATCTTGCATCTATATCATTGCTGTAATGATGCTACATTGCATATGTTTTTGTCTGATGAATCTCCATTTTAGAAGCTGTGCACATTGCAGTGTGCTCAGAAGATGGACTTTCTGGTTTTTAGGAATACCAGAAATTGTCTTTCCTACTGTTCCAGGAATAAATTTTTTTTCCTTCCATACTCATTTTTGGCTATTGGAGCTCCCTCTGCAAGTTCCTTCTTTACATCACAAATGAAAGTGCCAGACTCTTAAGAGTTTTCTGTTAATGTTTTTAAGAAACTTTTTAACATTCATATCCTTATTTCAACTTTACTCTACAGCCTACACTCACCTCACTATATAACAACTGTTGAACATTTGAATGCTGCAATTAGGAGGTGCCTGAAAAGGCAAATAAATAGTTCAGTGCTAAAACAAATGTGTAAAGACCAGACATTTGTAAAGCATGCCAAATGGCTGTATGCTATCAGCCAGCAATCAGTATCTAATACTGAAACAAGAGCTGACTAGTAGCAGTGGGAAGATTCACAGTGCAAGATAAACTAACATAGTTATTGAACTACTCAAATGAAAGTGGCATAGCAATAGAGTTTTTAGAAGTCTAATAGGACCCAACAATTTTACTATGGCCATAAAAATCATACTGGTGGCCACATTTGAGAAATTTTGTTTTTGTGTAATCACAAGTCACATGTAGGTTGTTGATTTTAAACTTTACATTATAAATAAATTACAGTCGTTGTGAAAGGTATTAAATATATAAAGTGTTGAGTACCCCAGTGGGACAGAGGTAAGTCTATGGACTTAAAAAGCTAAAAATTGGGGTTTGATTCTCTGCATTGGACACAGCAGGTAGCCCTATGCTCTAAATCAAACAAACAAACTAAAGTGTTAAATCAGTAACTACATTTCATCTGCTCTTCCCACAGCTCACATGATATTAGTTTGGTTCATATATTTCATTAAATTCTATACTATTAACCATGGCATAGTGGTTCACAGAATGGCTCTGAGTTTTTTTTTTCAAGTACAAACTTTTAGCTAATAGCTCCATCTCTTGACTGGTTTTAAGATCTAATTACAGCCACAGCTATTGAGGATTCCCTCTTGTACCTATTGTACTCACAACTTGCATGTCAATTAGTTGTTTTAAATGTTACATTACTAACCCTAAATTACATCTGCTTTCCTCACAAGTCACATATTCGTTATGTTGTTGGGTTTAAATGTTATATTACCAAATCTACATTATATATATATATGCTTACTTACAACTTACATTCCATAAAGCCAAATTGTAGAATTTGTTAGTTACATTAGTGTGTAGAATTGTTTTTGAAGATGTATAGTTTTCTGTTCATTGTTTTTACACACCCAGAACTGTATAATCTCTTGATTAGTGGTAGTGTATCACCTATTTTGATCTTTGAACAGCTTAGTCAAACACAAAGTCAGAAGGACATCCATGGAGAAACTACAGAAGAAAATGTTTTAGAAACAGGTGAAAACCAAGGTAGTGAGGTTCTGATAACACCATTTATTCAGTGTGACGATAAAGAAAAACTTGGTGATTATTAATGAGAAAGTGTAATTCTGACAAGGTACTTTACTTCTGCTCACATATATAGCTATTCTCGTTCAGTGCTGCTCTCTATTTCCATATTTTTTCACATGTCACAAGCCTTTCACTCCCATGTACCCCTTGATTCACATGGTTTAACTGAATCTTGCATGCAAATTTTCATTCGACAAACCTTCACCAATAGATGTGCCCCACACATATCCATCAGTGTGAAACTACATTCAGGTGTTAATGAATTATTGTTTGAAAATAAATTTTATACTTTCTTGCATGCATGTTGGAAATATATTTTCAGTGTAAGAAAATTATAACTTTATCAAAAAATAAATAAAATATTAATTTATGTACAATGCATTAATTGTATATTCTGTACAAATGACAGTGGGAAGAAAGAAACATAATTAAACACTATTATGGGACATCTAAATTTTTATTATTTAGCAATGTGATGCATGTGACTCCCCCTATGCACCTCTACCGAACTATCACTTCTCATTTGGCAGCACGTGCACTCAGACATCTTTCTTTTTTGTCTTGTTTGAGATTGAATTACTCAAAGTGGTATATTTTCACATACTCAGTTGTTTTTTTTTAAAGCATTCAAGTTCAATTACCCTTGTTCTAGTCGCATTTATTTCTTCCTTCAAATGCTTTTTTCAAAGCCACTGGGGTGGTTGACCATGGAGGCACTCTGCTGGATAAGATCCACATAAGATGGCTAAGTAGGGCGGTGGTGTTTTAATGTAATATCCTCCAATTTGTCGTTAATTATACAACGGAGTGAGACATCAAAATGTAGTTCACCCCTTCAATTGGAAGACCTCATAATACCCTTGCATGGATGTCGGTACCCTGTGTGGTGGTTTTGGATTTTGAGTGAACTAATCAACATAAATCCTCACACAGGTTTAGGATTGTCTATCTTCCTCCCTCGATTTTGTCCTTCTGTGTTGTGGGTCACAGCAGGGATATGTGGGATTGTTCCAGTTCCATTCTTGGCTCTCCCTCGTTCTCTCTTATTTTATGGATGTTATTGCCCTTTGGATGGTCCCAACCTGTTTCACGGTTGTGAGAGTTGATTGCATGCAATAGACTTCCTTTTGATACCGGATATCATGTTCCTGCATCAATAGCTCAGAGATAATCCTGTGTCATACCCAGGAATCAGAGTGGTTCTCAGTTCCATGTTTCTTTGGTTTGAGGAGAAGACTATATGATCCTCATCCTACCTTTATGCGGATGTCAGTACCCTGTGAGGAGGTTTTGGATGTAGTTGACTTACCAAATAAGGTCCGCCATGCTCTATCCACTCTAAACCATGGGACACATCCTCATTCACCCACTTTTCTTATTGTGGGATTGAGTTACTATATTTTTCTCCAGTTAGGATCACTTTCCTACTACATTCTCTCCCACTCAGATGTGCTCCTCTCATTTTCTACCCTGATTCCACATATGGGTGTAGAGTACACCTGGATCAGAAGTGGTGCAGTTCCCCTCTTCAGATCTGACTCTCTCATCTACAGAGGTATTGTTTGGATGCTTTGGGGGGGTGCATCTGTTCTTTCCTAGTCCCTCCTAATCAATGTGGATTTATAGCTAATCTTGTGAGAAGAGGGAAGTACCGTATCGGAAGTTATAATTTTCCTATGCTGAAAATGTACCTCCGATAAGTACTTCCCTCTTCTCACACTTCCCACTTTTCCTTCCCACTCACTTCCAGTGTTTCCATCGTCTGCCAATTTTTGAAGTGATAGTTTGGTAGATCTCATAGAGGGAGTTATATGCATCATGTGAGTGTACTATTCTTCTATTGGTGGAGAAGTGATGCATGATGATTTGCATGAGAGACACGTTGGAATCATTTGATTCCAATAGGGAGTGCGGAAGGCTTGTGGCATGCATAATAAAAAGGTTTGCATATAAAGGGTAGCAATAAACGAGAATAGCAAATCTTATGAGCTGAGGGAAGTACCTATCAGAAATACATTTTCAATATAGAAAGATTATAACTCTTGTATACATTAGGATATATAAAGCTTGAGATAACTATGTTCTTGTATACATAATATATAAAGTTTGAAATAACTATTTTCTTGTATACATTATAATATATGAAGTTGAGATAATGTGTTCTTGTTGGCATTACGATATATAAGGTTTGAGATAACTATATTCGTGTATACTTAATATATATAAAGTTGGAGATTACTATATTGTTGTTTACATAATATATATAATTTGAGGTTACTCTGTCCTTTTATACATAACAATGTTATTTCTATAGTGGATTATGCAAAGTATTATCATCATAAATAATGAAAGGTAAAAAAATGGTTTAAAAGGTATGCAAAGAAATTTATGTCTTTTATTAATTTTGTTCAGATATTATGCTGAGAGTGTATATTACATACCTAAGTCACTGATTGTTATCTAGTTTGGTGAAACATGCACCACGTGTTTCGTTTTTTTAAAATAAAGAATACCTTCTTGATTTTCAGATGCTCAAGAGGTGGGAAATGGAAAAACTCCATCAAACACGTAGGTGTCAACACATTCTAATTTATAGAGATTAGTAACTAGAAATGGTTTGTGGTTTTTTTACACACTTTTTGCAGAAATTACTCGCATGTTGCAAGTTTTAATTTTTTAAATGTTTTCACGTGCCATTGAAAGATTTGACATAGACTATTGTTTGTTATCTGGCATTTGACAGTGTTTTGTTTACGATGAAGAAATATTTTTTTAATGGCTTTAATACTTTCATTATTTCATTATATCTGTTTCATAAGATTATATATAATCTAGTTTGTTACTGCAGCAAGACATTTAACAAAGAATTTTAGTTTACCTCCCATACTTATCACATAATTTCTAGTACAGGGTGTTCCAAAATTATCTTTCCTATTTTAAAATCTGATAATTAGATAAATAAGGAAATACAACCATGCAGTTTTAAACATCTTGTAGCCCAACTCAACAGTTTTTATTGTCATGTATTCTTCCACTCTAGTGAGTATTGTTACTGTTATGACAGCAGAAATCACGTGATGCTGCTAGTGCATATGTGACTGAATTTCTCGATTGATCATGAATGATCAGGGAGGCCCGAGTGTATTCGAGATGGCTCTTTTGTTGGTATTTAAGCCTGGCAGAGAAAGCCAACAATTAATGAGGGAATGAAGAGAGTTCTGGGTAATTTACAATTCTGTGTGTGGTTTGTTATCGAGATTGTGAATCGTTGTGATTTATAGCGTGTATTATAAAAGTAGTTAAGCTTAAAGTGATGAGAAACGTACTGATTGTGAAATTACTATGTGCTAAAAGTTTGTATCGAGGAAGAATAAACTGGTTTAACCAAGAATGGACTTGTATTGCTGAAGTTTCTTGGAAAAAATTTCAACTGGAAATTAACAAAGAAGCAGATACGTAACATTACCTTGTAAAGTGGCAACCTTGCAAGAAGAAACTCAATGTGTCATTTGGTTTCCAGAGACCAAGTCAGTGACTTGGGTGCAAAATAATTGCAGATGCCAGTACAGTAAAGAAGTATGAGGGTATGTTAAGGATATCATGTATCACAGTACACATATAGCAAAGGTCACAGAGCTAAAGACCAGAATAACAGGGGCCATTGCCAATGAAACTGTGGGCATGTTGCAGCAAAGGTGGACTGAAATCGTAAATAAGTTAGACATGCTGTGAGCCACCAATGGTACACACAGGGAGTCTACTGACATGTTAATAAAAAAGTGTTTGAGTTGGGCTACAAGATGTTAAAAACTGCAAGATTGTATTTCCTTAGTTAGTTAATTATTAAATTTTAAAGTAGGAAAAATAATTTTGGACCACCCTGTATAATATATAACACTGCAAAATTTTAAATTCCGTGAAAACATTATATAACCAAGGTAGTTTATTAAGCTGGTCAGCACACATCAAAAACTTTCATACTTATCAGGTGTGGAGTAATTAGAAGCCCAACATACCTAAAACACACACACACTTGGTTACTCATAATAAATAAGATAATGTTTCATCATGCATCTTTTGGCCCTATTGTTCATTTCAAAACTGGCCTTTGCTTTGTTTCTTAAGGAACTTCATTTGACTGTGTAAATTGTTTTCCCTTTGCTTCAGTTATTCTAATTTTTGCTAAGCTTTAATGATTTTGCCGTGCTATCTAACTACTTCTTCATTCTCTTGCTAATTGAAATTTTCTTTCTTGCACTTTTAGTCTTATTCAGAATTTTAGTTTAGAAGTTATTTCATAGATGGTGATAGAAGTGTTCTATTGAAATGAGAAGCTGAGGTGGCTTGATGCTGTAAACATGCCACCTTTTAATTCAAATGTTAACCAGTATCTCAAATCTCTGATTATTTTCTATGATGATATTGAACGAGCTTGCTGTAAATATGGTCATTTATATAAAAAAACAACATAAATCCTGATTTGACTGGATTTGAATGCAAGACTTCCACATGAGAGTCAAGCACTGTAACCACTGAGCTACTTTGACATCCAGTGTTTAAAATCTAATCTTATCAAATATTAATTTAAAATATCATGGTATTTGTGTTTTTCTGAGTATTGAAAGAGCTGGCTATAAACATGATCATTTATTGAAAAAAAACAAAATTATAAAAAAATCCCAACTGTACTTATATTTGAACATAACATTTCCACTCGGGGTTTGGGTGCTCTAACCACTGAGGCAATTTGAGTATTACAAACAGACAGTGGCTTTTATATATATATATATATATATATGTAGATGCTTTATACTTTCCTTCAGTTTACCAGTGTCTGAAGATTCAAAGTGAAGGAAGCCTAGTGTCAGAATAGTCTGTCACATAAAAACCTGTTTGTTTTACTGCAGGCTCTTGTACAGCCAAAATACCTAGAGAACATTCAGCTTAAAATGACATTTCACCACTCTTGTGTTTGTCTTCTTTTAGAACACATTATTTGTGTAAGGATAGTAGTTATGGTAGGGGGAGAAGATGACTTGATAGTTAAAGTTTGATTAATGAAGGCCAGTAGTTCATCATAACATACTGTTGCCACTAACCACTTTAATACTTGAAAAAATCATAAGCTCATAGATAGAGAAGAAAACTGAAAATTCAGAAAGATAAAATAACAACTTTTCATAAGTTCAATAGTTAAAAGAGACTGGGTATTAGCTATCAACAGTCTTTTGAGTTCCTTGATCAAGAAATCTGAAGAGCTCTATCACAGAACTGTGCTCAGCAGCTAATCAGTATGTGTTTTTGCTATAGCAAAGCCACATCGGGCTATTTCCTGTGTTTCCTATTTCCAATGAAGCACCAATTGTTGCATTGTAAATCTGAAGACTTATCGCTGTCCAACCAGGGGACAACTAATCAGATGAACCTCAACAGTCAAATCAGTTCCCTCCACAGCCATAAATATCATCCAGACATGAAATATGAACAAACATAAAAGTGCTGAAATGTCGCTAAGTTCAATACTTACCAGATAGTCTGTTGGTGTAGAAGCCTTGAGCTTGGGTCAACAAGTATCTATGAAATCCTTTAAAGAACATATTTTTTTATTTTAGCATGACACTTTTAAGTTTGTACTAAGGTCAATGGGGTACTAATTATTTAAATTATAACATTATTTATATTACAAGTCTCAAATGTTCAATGAATTATTTATAACTGTCATACTGAGGTCAATGTGGTACTAATTATTTAAGTGATAACATTACTTATATTACAAGTCTCAAATGTTTAATGAATTATTTATAGCTGTCATACTAAGGTCAATGTGGTACTAATTATTTAAGTGATAACATTATTTATATAACAAGTCTCAAATGTTCAATGAATTATTTATAGCTGTCATACAAGACATCTCATGTATTAGTTTGTAAAAGTTTTAAGGAAGTATTAATCATACTGTATATACACTTATATGAAAGTTTTACCACAGTTTCTTGATTTGCTAGGTACGAAAGGCCCTTCGTAAAGTTTTTCATGAACTTGTTGTGTCCTAAGTATCGTGTGACAGTGGACGTATATGCTATCATGTTCTTCTGTGATTTTGTGAATATGTTGGTTGTAGTGTTTGGCTACTGGGCCTTTGGTGTAAGTATAGACCTCTTGATAAGAATTTATAGTTGCCATAGTAAAATCTCTTCTTTCCAGTGTAACTTTCTGACATAGATGAATAGGTGATGCTAACAGGTGCAGTGTTTTAAGTAACAACTGTGTTTAAATTAATAATCTGCACTTAAATTAAAATATAAAAAAGCATCAAGATAGTATAAGATTTATATCCAAACAATAATTCATTAACACCTGAATGTAGTTTCACACTGATGGATTTCATCTGTTTTCTGTGGTCTTTGTTCTTTTTTCTTTCTATTTGTTACATCTTTTCTTCAAACAGCTTAGATAGCTTTGTAACTTTGCTTCCTTTAAAAATCCTACAGAGTTATGTTTAGCTTATGTAGCTTTGTAACTTTGCTTCCCTTTAAAATCCTACAGAGTTATGTTTAGCTTACATAGCTTTGTAACTTTGCTTGCCTTTAAAATCCTACAGAGTTATGTTGAACTTATGTAGCTTTGTAACTTTGCTTCCTTTAAAAATCCTACAGAGTTATGTTTAGCTTATGTAGCTTTGTAACTTTGCTTCCCTTTAAAATCCTACAGAGTTATGTTTAGCTTACATAGCTTTGTAACTTTGCTTCCCTTTAAAATCCTACAGAGTTATGTGTAGCTTACATAGCTTTGTAACTGTGCTTGCCTTTAAAATCCTACAGAGTTATGTTTAGCTTATGTAGCTTTGTAACTTTGCTTCCCTTTAAAATCCTACAGAGTTATGTTTAGCTTATGTAGCTTTGTAACTTTGCTTCCCTTTAAAATCCTACAGAGTATTACTAACCTTAGGCACTGTTGTAACCTTGCTTCTCTGTAAAATAGAGTAAATATTCAATCAGGAAGAGAAATAAAATACATTTTTGGTTTGGAATTTTACTTTTAAAATCTTGTGTTTTAAAGTTGGACAGCTAAAAAGCAACACTTCATGTTTCACTTCATACATTTTAAGTTTTCTAGTGTTAAACTTTTAAACAAGAATGCTGAAATAATAGCTTCATAGTGATATTCACTGTTAACCAAAGAGAGAATTTGAAGCTAAGTGCTCACACTGCTTTTTTTTCAAGTTACAAGATATCCAAGTGTTTATTTGTATTTTTTATTTTTTAAATGTTAACTTGAAGTGCATTTTCAGAAGTCAATAATGTTTTATTTTTTAGTAATTCAAAGATTACTCAAATAATATTTTTTTTGCTTTGCTACATCCACATAAAGATGCATTTTGAATTTCAAATAACATATAATGCCTTGTTACATTCAGATATGATCTAATCTACATCTTCTTTTTTATCCATTGCCTTCTGATTGTAGATATTGTATGGAGGAAAATATATACTCTTTAAACATTTTTATAAACTTTTTTATTTCATAAAAAATTATATATAATATCCTCTTGCCAATCTTGTGAAGAGGATTCTGTTCTGTTTATTTCTTCTGACTTTTATTTCCATTTTGGAGAAATATAATACCATCTTTCTATACCACGAATGTCAGGTTACTTTAATTTTTCTCATCATATATATAAATTGAAGATTTGTGAAAATGTTTTAAACATCCTGATCCAGTTGTGGTTTATTTTACAATAAGATATATGAGATGAGAGTTTGGCTTTGTCTCTTCCACAATTACAAATAGTGTTTATATTAGTTCTACAACTATGCAGTCACCAGCAATTACACAGCTCACCAAGTTAAAGTAACTTGCATATGAACATTTATTAAAATCACACAAGCTTTAATATATCGCATAAGTCAATCATTGCAGATTAAGTATTCTTGATAAAAACAGATTACTCAGATGTAACTGTTTCCTTTTATTAATATTTCTAACAACTTTTTCTTTCCTGTATTTTGAAGTATTTTTGGTGCTGCTATTTTAAACCATTTTGGTAGTACTTTTTCCTGTAAGAACTAAACTTCCTGCAGATTATATCTGTTTTTTTTTTGTCATAATACACAAATCACAACAATTATATCATTATGTGAACAGTTGAATTGCATCATCTTCAGGCATAAAAAACATCAAAACCTGTCGAGTGTATGAGACTGTTTCTAGTCTCATCAGGTTTATTTTTATCCTCTACAGTAAGTTATTTGGTAATTTATCGTATTTTTAAGACTGGGAACAGTCTCGTTTTTATGATTATTTTGAAGATTAATTTATTTCTGAAGATTGATAACTGTAATGGGTTATGTCCACGTTATCGTAGCTAACAATTTGATAATCATAGTGTAATGTGAAAGTTTTCTTTATTAGTTTGTAGTTACAGGCTATACCTCTAAAGAAGAGAGATTTACAGCTTATTATACTGTGTAGTTAACCTAATAAGACACCTATCAGATGGAAGGGTGTGCTAGAAAAAGAAAGGAATGGGGTTATGAGAGTAGAGGTTGGCAACTATCTTGGTCAGTGTTTCCCATCCTGGGCAGTCCTTCCCCCTAGTGGGCATTTTTAAAATTCAGGGGGGGAGTAAACTTTGAGGGGGCGATTAGAAAAGTTTTGAGAGTTTCAAAGTTATATTTGTTAAAATTATACCATAAGAAATAGGGTTTTTTCTTTCAACACATTTGAGCAAACATCATTGTGTGGGGGTGTTTGTGACAAGCAATGCCCACCCCAATGTTTTTCATCCATTCATTGAGCATATCTTTCTTGGCATCACTTTTAATACTTGTATTAAAAATTTATTAGAAAGGAGCATGAGCACTCATTGTTTGCTGAAAGGAGCGCTGCAGCAAAAAAGGTTGGGAAACACTGATCTAAGTAAACAGTGTGGCTATGTTATTGTAAAACATTTCATTAATTCTTTATTGGTGTACCAATAAACTCTTGTTCATATGACTCCAAGAATCTGTTTATGGAAGATTGGCATTCTGCTTAAAGGTAGTTAATTGTTTTTGATCTATGGTGATTGCTAATCGGTAACTATTTGTCTTTAGACTGACACAGCTGATGGAGGTGTTGCTTCATATGTTGAAGAGAACAAGGTAATGTTTATTGATGGATACATGTTTATGTTCCATAAGTAAAAAACTTTAGTTCATAAGATTAAATCTTAGTTTAACTAATAATCTAAGCACACAAGTTCATTTAAATGTCAGAATGACATGTAACAATGCTGAAAAATCCCATGTAGATAAGTATTTGTTGTTTTTTTTCTGTTAGCTGAATAACTTAATTGATACATAATGTTATGAAGAGCTTTATGCTGAAATTCAACTACACATATTGGATAAGATAGGAATGTTCACAATTCATACATAAATCATTATGAATTTCTACTTTCTCTTTATATTTAGGTTACAAACTAGGTTTGTATGATTGTTCTTAACAATTCTGTAAGTTATGGAAATAATTACTTTTTATTGAAGGTAGACCACATATATAATTTGGACATTTTTTGATGGAAGTTAATAAGATGAAACTATGTAAAGATTTGAAATCATCATATGTGAATCTTCAGGTGGGAAATTATATTAACAATAACGTGTAATTCAACTGAACTTATAAAGTATTTTATACTTGAGTGAAGTTCATCAAATGTACACTTTTTTAACATATACAAGGAGCTATTACTGTTTTTAAACTTAATCAAGAGTTGTTGTTGTTGTTTTTTTTTTGGGAGGGGGTATTTTTAGGCATAAAAGAAACATATACAGTTTTTATGTTTGTGACATAACAATTTTTTGTTATTATTTACAAAAGTATATCACTAGATTAAAACTAATCATAACACTAAGAAGTCATTCCACAGCTTAATATGTGTGCATTTATTTTTCAGGTTCCCATTCCTTTCCTCATAATGTTAGTTGCCCAATTTGCTCTGATCATAATTGATCGAGCTCTCTACCTTCGTAAAAATGTCCTGGGAAAATTAATCTTTCAGATCGTTTTGGTGTTCGTCATCCATGTGTGGATGTTCTTCATTTTACCAGCTGTGACAGAAAGGTTTGTTTCATTGTTACCTGTATTACATTATATTCATTGTTTTTCTCTAAAGTTGCATGAATTGCTACATTTATTATTTAGACATTAAAGAGCTAGTGTTTTAAGGATGGCTGTGGCTGAGTAAGTACTACTAGCATTGAATCTTCACTGAGCTGCATCTGTCTGGAGCCTTATTTCTCTCAGTTGAAAAAGCCTCATAAGGCTTTGCATAAAGAATACAATTATGTCCACCACAAGACTACAGGAAAATGTGATTTATTGAAGATTCAGTGCTTGTTTAATACACAGTTCCTTAATAATTGCTTCTAACACTCTTTGTTATTTGGTCATATTGTATTTAAAAAAGGTAATTTTTAGTGAATATTTTGTCCATCATTCTAACTTTTTTACTGCTAAAACTTTAGTCATTTTGTTTTATTCTCTGTCTCTCCTTTGAAGATAAACTGTTTTATGCTGAATCCTGTAATAGTTTGAATGTTATGAAAGAAGTAGATTGTTAACTCAGTCTTACACATATTTTATTTTATAACTGTATGGTGATAAGCCTTCTTCAGGAACAAAATATCAACTCACAGAGCATTGTCTATTATTAGCTTGAATTATCAAGAGGAACTTCAAAAATAGGAGCTGCAACAAGTAGACCCTAGGCATTATAAACTCAATCACAATTATAAACACATTATTATCACATTATAAACTCAATTGGATCCTGAGATTTTCTTACTTTTCTTTCCTCCAGAGAGTTCACAAGTCCTACCAGACTTCCTCCAAAGCTGTGGTACTTTGTTAAGAGTGTGTACCTCCTGATTTCAGCGTACCAAATCCGGTCAGGCTATCCAACAAGGATTCTTGGAGTTGTTTTCTGCAAGAACTACAACTATATTAATTACTTTCTTTTCAAAGGGTAAATTTAAACTGTTTTGTTAATATTCTATAGCTTAACATTTTTCCTCAAAGAATGAAAAAATGAAACCAGATAACAATCTTTAGATATCCTTTCTTTGTTCTCTTCTCACCTAAAAGAAAATATTTTTGAATATCATGTGTATTTAATTAGCATCTTTTGATGAACATGATGAAGGTAAAGTTGTTTTTGTTTCTTACAATTGTGAAAGGAGTATTTCTTTGAAACATTCAGAAGATGGGACACAGTTTGGTACTGTTGAGAGTAGCAGTAAAAGGTTTAAACATTTTTTAAATATACATCATACTTTGCGTCAATTCTCAAGGCTTACAATATTATGCGGGGCACAAAAGTTTTGCCAAAGGGTTGTGCATATCTGCCAGAGACAATGTAATATGCCTCCAGGGCATTGTTGACTTGTGTCAAGATGAATATTAAGTGGTAAAGGACAACAAAGGAAAATAAAACATTAAAAATTTACTATATGTGTGGAAATAAAAAGACCTGAAATTACGAACTTAACAAAAGGTAAATCTTTAATGATATTCTACAAAAAATTAAAATGTATTTCTTTTTTCTATTTCCTAATTTTAATAATTTATTGCATTGTATGTTGATGATAATATCTAGAGTTAGGGATATGGTAAAGAAAATGAAAAATAAAATATGAACATTTGCCTTAAAAAATTTTTCATATTCTTTCAGGGGGGTTCTAGAGATTATGCAAATGAAATATGAAAACTATAAGACGTAGAAAAGTATTTCTATACTTAAAATGAAAATCACCTTGCACTCAATTAGTTAAGAGTTTGAGTGCAAGTAAGTACAATAGATAGATAACATATTTTTAGTAAAAACACTCAATTATAATAATGTCATTCATTGTGTACAAGATACTTATGATCTTTAACAAAATCGTACCAGTTTTTGAGAAGAAACATAAAGAAATCTGAGTTACCATATGTATTGTTGTACAAGTGAAATTCGTGACTCAATTTCCTCAAGTTACATGAGCCTGAAGCAAAAGTATTACTCAAACTCAGTTTACCAAATTCGTCTGTACCTTACAACAGATTTGCTTTTATCTTCTTTGCAACTGTTGTCTGATGCCTATCGCAGGCCTACTGCTCAATTTTGAGAGGTCCTTAGTCATTTATTGACTTTAACTTTGCTACAGTCATCAGCTTTTGCTCTATCCTTGGTCTCTTGGTTGGCTTGTTGCTGTGATCATTTGAAGAGAGATGCCTTTCTAGAGGGAATTCGATTTCCTTGTTCAGCTCTCAGAGATCTCAGGGAAGCACCTTTTCTCAGACATTAGATTTTTGCAGGTATTCCAGATTCCATGGAATCTAGGGTGGATGTGGCCTGTCTCCACTTTTCTCTTTAAACCCTGGCCTCTTGTCTTTCTTGGTTTTATACTGGAAGTTTTACTGCATCTCTCATTAGAGTTTCCAGACCTCCTGTGTCAGCTCCACATTCTATCAGAACTCAAAGGAGATTCCACCCTTATCAACAGGTATCTTCTGCTCGTTTGGAGGATGGACTACAGTGTTGGTGACTACCCTGTGGGGGCTTGACTCAGACGGTTCATTTTAGTATGGGAGACCTTCACATCAGTGGGTCATTCAAGTTGTTATGAGAGCATTAGTCCTTTATTTCACGTCTCCTCCTCCATTATTACTCATACCAGTTGTCTTTTCATTCCCCAAGGATTATCTTACATCCAGTCATTGAGAACAAGCTATCCAGGATCTTCTGCACAAAGAAACTGTCAAGCAGGTTGACTCCTCTTTAATGGGTTTTTATTCCAGTTTGTTTGTAATGCCAAATAAGACAGGCAATTGGCAACCTTTCATCAGTCTTTTTTGTCGTAATTGTTTCCTCCAGTCTCCTCAGTTTATTATGGAGTCATTTCTTTCCCTTTGGTGGCACTTTTCACCCTGTTGTGGATAACAAAGTTCGATGTCTATCTTTGTATTCTGATCACGGAATCTTCACGTCATTACTTCCATTTTGTTCGTGTTTGTTAGTTTTTTCAGTTTTGCACTCTCCATTCAGCCTCACACCTGCCCAATACGTGTTTTGTCGGATAGTCAGATCCTTTTCACGTCATCTTTACTCATTGGGCATTCACACTCACCATTATATGGACAACTGGCTTTTTCTCACTCCTTTCTACCATTTGGCAGAACTTCATACTCGAGCTTTTTTATCTGAAGCTGCAAGAGCTGGTTTTCTCGTCAAAATGGAGAAGTCTATTTCTACTCCCACACAGTACCTCATTCATTTAGGGGTGTTTTTCAATTCCCATCTTAATCAGGCTCAACCTTCTCCTCTATGCCTTTTAGGCCATGGAATGGGCTGTTTTTCTAATACAGTTGTCTCCTTCTCCACCAGCATATGTGTTTCTATCTCTATTGGGAATGTGGGCACCCTTGGAATCACTCATTCCTGTAGTTCATGCTCACGTTTTCCATTTATTGGTCATTTATTGGAACATTTGCATGGATGCATTGGATTGTCCAGTGATCCTATTGGCTTCCAGCCTGCTCAATCTTGGTTGGTGATTGGACAGGGACAACATAACAATAGGTGTCACTCTCCTGCCCCCACGTCCAGAGATACATAATTTCACGGACGCTTCTCTCCAGGGATGGAGTGCTTGTATATTTTATATGGAATTCAAGGGCCTCTGGACAGAAGAGTAATTTTCTCTACACATCAATCTCTTAGAGCTTCTACCAGTTCAATGAGCTATGTCTCAGGGTCTCGCATTGTTGCAAGTGGAGTTGGTAATGCTTCACTCAGACAATTCCATAGTAGTCTCGTGCATTTCTAAGCAAGAGGGCACTCACTCCAGGTTTTCGAACATTGCATCATCTTTTTTTGGTCTACAATAATCAGATTTTACACCTTGCTTGTCATGTTCCAGGTGTAAGAATTTAGTGGTTGATCAGTTATTTCATCTCAACATAGTTATTCCCATGGAATGGATGCTTTATCCACAATTTCTTTCATTGGATCTGCTCTCCTCTTGGGATGTCCCAGATCTATGCTTTTGCCACACTGTGGAATGCCCAGCTTCCATCCTTCTGGTCTCCTGTACCTCACCCTTTGGCTTTGCTCTAAGCCAGGATTGGACGAGTTTTTCATCTTTACACATTTCCTCTGATTCATCTGTTATCCAAAGTTCTTGTACTAATTCACTCCTCATCCTGTTGAGTTCTTCTGGTGGTGCTACATTGGCCAGATTAGCCTTGTTTTTCACTCCTTCAGTATCTTCAAGAATGCCAGCTTATTCCTCTCTGGTCATCTCTCTTATGTCAGCCTTGGTCAGACATTTTTCATCTGGCTATCACCATTCTCTGACTTCACATTTGGCTTTTATGTGGTCTGTTGTATGATGTCAAGATTTGATTTCTCAGGTGGCTTTTTTTATTAACGAGGAACATTCATCATTCTTGTTTAGAAATTTATCAATGGAAATGGTTTACTTATTGTCAGTGGTCTTTCAGACCTGGATTTAATCCTTCTTGTCCCATTGTGCCACATATTTCTCAATTTCTGACATGGTTATTCGACAGAGGTTTGGCACCTTCATCCATTTCTCTGTATAAGGCAACTTTGACAGGTTTTTTTTCGTTTTGCTAGGATTCATAAAGTTTTTGAATCTACAGTTTTGTCCTTACGTCTGAATTCTTTTTGGGTTACCTGTCCTTGATTTCCTTTCCAAGTTCTCCATGCCTTATCTCGTCCACCCTTTGACATTATGTTCTCTATATCACCTTTCTCTTAAGACTTATTTTCTTCTGTTGTTGGTTAGCAGATGTCAACATTCGGATGTGTTTGCAATTCATGTTCACAGGACTCTTTTACCATTGCACTTATGTTGTGTTGCATCCATGAGGTCCTTTCTACCCAAAATTTCAGCAGCTAGAGAAGGGGATAAGGCTTTTTCTCCTTTTCATCTTTCCCCCATTTATCATTTTTATGACTGCTCAGATCCATATGGTCTTTTAAGCCCAATTTGGGCTCTCTGTTATTATGTTGCACGCACTGGAGAGCTTTGGGGTTCCCGTCACCATTTGTTTCTCCAATGGGATCGTATGGTGTCACATGACTTATTCCATGTCACTTTGACCAGTTGGGTTTGTATTACATATCTGGGCTTTCATTGGAGGAGTGGAGACTTTTTCAGGTCTCATCTCATACAGTTTGCCATATCTGAATGTCTCTGGTGGTTCAGTTGCATTGCCCACTGGAGGAGATTGTACAGGCTGATATGTGGACCCCCACCTAACACATTTATATCTCAATATTCACATGATTTGGTAGTTGCCTCCTCAGATGGTTTTTGTCTACCCCAGTGGCCCATTTATCTTGTCAATGTGTAATTCTAGTGTGAGAGGAGGTAAGTTAGTTTCAGAAGTTAACATTTTCCTATACCGAAAATGTATTTCCGATAATACCTACCTCCTCTCACACTCTCCCACCCTTCCTCAGTGGTCAGTATTTGGGTCTGCTAATTTGGACAGTCTCGAAAAAGTGAATAGGAAGTAATAACGGGGAGCTTATATATGGATTTGGGATAGGAGGCGCATTGATGTAGGTGGAGAGAATCACAAGATCTAACTTGCTATGGGCAATATAGTGGGGTATAAAAGCTGGAGCAAGTGAGATAAGATTCATACCAATACTTAGATGGGCAGAGAAGAGTAACTTTCATCAAGATAAAGTTAGAGTGTGACAGGAGGTAAGTATTATTGGAAATACATTTTTGGTATAGGAAAATGTTAACTTCCATAAGTTGGGCACCCTCAATGTCAATGATATCTTCAGCCATAACCCCAATAATATCCCACAAAGTTTGGCCAGCTTAGGAGATTGAGGGTTGTTCTAAATACAAATTCTAAGCTAACAATGCAAAACAGCCATTACAATAAAAGTGTAATAATGCATAACAAATTATATTTAATATGCTTACTAGTATAACCAATATTATTAATGAATGAAACAAAATATCATACCTTACTTAAGACTGCCATAGCACAGTGAAGTGTAATTCTCTTAAGTATATTATATATAGTTAAATAACTTTTATAATAAGTTCTGTTTTTACTATTCTCAGTTTACTTGTAAGTGGAATCAGTGATGTCTCCAATTAAACAAAATTAATTTCATTTTGGAGAACTACAGACAAAATTTAATGTAGTTGAAATATTTGATCATAAAAAAGCAGCACTGCAATAGAAATATAACATGATATTATGTAGTGTTATAAAATATAAGTTTAATATGCTGTTCTATGGAGTAATTTTAACATATGCAAGTTACGATGTTGTGGAGTGTTATAACTGTTCTATCTTCCAAGTGGATTCAGATTATCATCTGTAATATAACAGAGTGGAATACTAGCAGTAATGTATAAAATATTTTGATACAACCTATGATATTAGCAGGCATTATGAATTCTTGTTATTTAGTAAATTAGAAGTTGATTAGTTCCATCATCTGTAATAGGCAACCATGATGAAAATTGAATTCAAAACCTTATCGACTTTTTCTAGAAATTTCCACTAAAATATAAAATACAGTTTAGTTCATCACAAGAATCTCAGTTCAAATTTTTGAAAAATATGGAAATCTCCCTGAAGGCATTTTATACTTTCAAATATTACACAATATTTCTATTGTTAAGATGGTATTTTTGGTAATGGTATTACTCATAGTGAAAGTATTTTTCTTTCCAGTTACATGATGATACCATTTTTGTATGAAATCCGTTCTTTGATGGATTGGATCTGTACAGACACTAGCTTGAATGTTGGTAACTGGTTGAAGATGGAGGATATTTTTACAAATATTTATCTCCTAAAGTGCATCCGAAGAGTAGAGGCTGAATATCCCACTCCACGAGGAATTAAGCGTGCTGCACACATGAAGTATGGAGTTGGAGGTTTACTACTGTTTATTATTATCTTAATAATTTGGTTTCCTTTGCTTCTTTTTGCCTTGGGCAACATGGTGAGATTACCAAATTCACCATATGACTGTACTGTGGAGATTACTGTTGAGGGCTATGAACCCATCTTTAAAATGAGTGCCCAGCGAAGTTCACTCAACTCTTTTACGCAAAGTGAATGGAATAAAATGCTGCATTACTATCGATTAGATCCATCAGCACAATCTTTTCTTGATAACTATGATATGCAAGATGTAATGATGGTTAAAATGAATGGAAATTCTACCTCAGTGTGGACCATCAGCCCTCCTAGTCAGACTGCTCTCATTCATGAACTCTTGTCAAATGAAACTGAGTTAAATGTAAAGCTATCTTGGTCTTTTTCAAGACAATTCAAAACTTCAGATGTAGAGAAGACTGTTTATAATGAGCACGTCATTACACTGAATAATCTTGAAGACCGAGAGCTTCGAGAGGAGTTGGCCCAAATGTTGAATGGGAGCAGCAATGTAAGTGAGATAACTCTGCCATATTTATTTCCTAAGTACTTGAAGGTTCCTGGTCGAGGTCAGCCTTCTCCTGTTAAAGACTTAGTCAGAAGAAGAGGTAAGTAACCTTTCTTTTCAAAATATTTGCACTTTACTTGCAGGTCATAAATGTTGGTGGACTTTTTATTTAACAATTTGTAAACTTTAAAACTTAAATACTTTTTCACATATTCTAAAAAATATGTAAGTAGGTGTTTTACAGAAATTTTGACAGTGTGTGGTTACTGTTCTGTCCCTCACTCACTCACATCAGTACTTGGAGATAGTTTCACAATAAATCATATTTTTGGACCTGGATTGGCATAATCTTTTGTTACAAAAGAAAAGGAGAGGAAGCAGTAAAGATAAGATGAAATTTGTACATGAAATCTCCAGAAATACTATTTTATTTATTTCTTTAAGTTACAAATTGCAGTAATACTTCACTGTCATTAATGTTACAATAATCTAGGATGTTTAATAAATTGTTAGTTTGTTTGTAGTTATGCACAAAGCTAC